GAGGAAGAGGAAGAAGAGGAGGAGGAGGAGGAAGAGGAGGAGGAGGAAGATGAAGAAGAGGAAGAAGAGGAAGAGGAAGAAGAGGAGGAGGAGGAAGAGGAAGATGAGGAGGAGGAGGAGGAGGCAGGGGAGGATGCTCTGGAGCTGGAGGCGCTGCAGTTGCGGCCCCCGGCGCTGCGGCCTCCGTCCCCGTTCTTGTCGCCGTCCTCCTCGCCCTCCGTCTCTGACCCACTGCTGCTGCTGCTGCTGCTGCTGCTGCTGCTGTTGCTGCTGCCGCTCTCCGACTCCTCAGCCCCGTCCTGCTCGGCCTGGGCCTTGTCCGGGCTCTTGGGGTTCCCAGAGTCCTCGAACGCAAGCCCTGCCCCGGACTCCGGAGCCAGGTCCCCATCCGCGGCCTTGGGCCAGGCGGTCTTGGGCTCGCTGCCTCCCGCTGCTGGGGTATAGCCCCCCAGGCTCAGCAGGCCCTTGGGCTCCTGCCAGCCCCCTGCCCCCGGATCCTCACGGAGCAGAAGGGCCTCTTTGGCCTTCTTGCTTTTGGGCGACATGACCCCCTCGTGGTCCAGTTTGACGAGCAGCTCGGCCTCCTCCCCCGGCCTGCGAGGGCCCTTGGCGCCCGACTCCTCGGCAGCCCGCGCCTTCTTGGGCTTGGGGCGAGTGGCGGGCATGGTTATGAGGGGGGCAGCGGGGGGTGCCGGCAGCTCCCCAAAGGGCTCAGGAGCTGGGCCGCTGGCAAAGGTGGGCGGCACGGGGCTGGGCTGTGGGGCTGCCGCGCGGGCCTTGGGGGCTTTGGCCCGCTTGTCCACAGGCTCTGGGGGGCTCTTCTTGGAACTTGGGGTGCTGCTCGGCTCCAGGGCCAAGGGAGTACTGGGGACCTCGTCCGTTGAGCCCCCTTCCTCCAGGACAGCAGCTCTGTCTGGAAAAGAGAAAAAGAAAACAGATTTGAGGCTGGGCAGGGGCTGCTGCCGTCCTGGCGGGAGACCAGCCGCAGCTCAGTCGGAACAGCTGGGCGCAGTCCCGGCTCTACCAAGTCCGGCGTGGGGACCCGGCCCTGTGCCCTGCCTGGCCCCGTCGGGGGCCTCTGCAACACCCGTCTATGTCTACGTTGTGCTGTGCCACATGGGTCCTCAAAGCTTTGGCTTTCAGCACAAAGCCCTTTTCTCTGGATTCTGGAGGGAAATGCACCCAGGCTGAATCTCCGCCCTGCCTATCTCTGCCTATGTCCTACCATGTCAACTGGTGAGAACGCCCCGGGGGGCAGCGTTTCTGCAGAGATGGGTGTGGTTACCTGTGTGGGTCCCCGGCCCCGGGGATGCCTGGAGGAGCCTCACCCCCACCCCACCACCGCCCATGCCTCGAGCCTGGTCAGGCAGGGCCTGGGCCAACCTACCGCCCTTGGCCTTGGTGCTGGGTTTCCGCCCGCGCCCTCGCGCCTTGGCTCCCGGCTCCTCTGACCCTGTCGTGCCCCCATCTTTGCCTTCCCCGGTGTCTTTGCTGGTCTTCCGGCTGCGGCGCTTGGCGCTCGGCACCAGGAGGGCCGGCGACGGCTCGGCACCTGCGGGGTACAGCGCACAGCGGCTCAGGCCTGGGTTTCTGCAGACGACGCCATGTGACCGGTCCCAGGAGAGCTCCCCGTCTGGCGCACAAGATGCCCAGCAAGGCACCCCCCGCAGAATGAGCGAACTAGAGTGCTTTGTGGACTCAGAGGGGCTGAACGTAGATGCTGACTTTTGTCGTTCTTATGACCCACTTAGGAAATGTTCAAAACCTCTGATGTTACCAACTCTGTGAATTCGGCAGTGCTGGGTCCACGTCCTGCCTCTGCCTGTCATTATGGTGGGCCCTGGGTAAGTCATGAACCACTTGGAAGCCCAGCTTTGTCCCTGGCCAAAGGGGCGCTGAGGCAGGAAGTCCACGCTGCCGCGGCCGCTCCGAGCCTTAAACTGTCTGTCACCATCCTCGATCAGCCCCACGGGCCATGGACACAGGACCTGGGAGCCCTGAGACCCCCCCCTCTCCAGCCCCGTTCCAGGCGCCCCACCCATGGTTTCTGCCATTTCTGTCCCCTGTGGTCCACGTGGCAGACAGAGCCCAGGGCTGACCTCAGGGGGTGAGGGCCTGGGTGGGCAGCGGGAACCCCGGGTGTCACGGGCCCGTCACTCACACTGGATCTTATAGTCGGGAGGCAGGAGGCGGATGTGTGAGAGGGGGATCCTCCCTGTGTCTCCGTCATCAAACTCCACGGTGATCAGGTCCCCGTCATCCTCCAGGTCCAGTAACCCTGTCAGAGGAGGGGCAGCTCAGGGCAGGTCCTCAGACCTCCAGGTCCCTGGTGGGGTGCCGGGGGTGGGAGGGGCGGTAGAAATCAGCCCATAAACAGCCCTAGTCTCTAAGGCACAGCAGTGGGATGTCAGTGGTGGGTATACAGTGGTGCAGAATGTGAGCTTCAGAGCCAGGCAGTCCAGGCGGGAGTACTGGCTCTCCCACTTCCAGCTAACTTTGGGTGACCGACAGCGGATCACACAGGCCTGTGCCCGCTCACGCCCAAGACATTGGCGGAAACAATGATAAAGGAAGAGCACCAGCCCTGAAGGACGCAGGACAGGTGGGAGGTGGCAGGGGTGGGGTAGGAGGGACGTCAGGACATCAGCATGGACACGAAGGAGCTGACTTTGGTCTCCTGGAAAGAGGCGACGCCAACAAGAAAGAAGCAGTTCTCCCAAGAGAACCCCGCCAAGGCTCAGCCCAAGAGGCACCAGGTACCTCTGGAGGCCTGAGTACAGGGGACCGTGACACTCAACAGGCTGAGGGTTGGATGGCCAGCAACGGCCGGGAGGTTGCCCTTAGAGAGAGGCTCCGGACTGAAGGACGCTGGGCACAGGTGGGGAGGGCAGGTGGTCCCCACACCAAAACCAGTGCTTAACAGGCAACTCCATACACTGAAGGGGGACACCCCAGGCCCTTTCCCAAATGCTGGATGCTAAGCCTCTGTCCCCAGGGACACGAGGACTCTGACCAGCTGAAGGGAAAAGACCTCCACGTGCAGGTATTTGGGGGCCCAACAAGTCACTTCTGCCCACCCGTGGTGACAAGGGCTCACTCATGCACAGAGCTTACAATCGGCTCCGTGACGACTCTTCACTACGGGTCACCAAGGCCGTGAGTGGTCTCTGATGAAAGGAAGAGCTCGGAGCTAACAAACAGAAGGCAGGGGGCTCCCAGAAGACACAGGGAGCTCACAAAATCTAACATGAAAAAAAGTCCTCTCAGAAATTTTAAATAAGATAATGTGTTGATGAAACAGAGTTCTTTTTAAAAGGAATATTCAGAGAATAAAAAGAATTCAAGAATTTTTTAAACGACAGCAGAAACTTTTAAAATTCAAGAGAACAGAAGGAGTTAGAAGATAAAGTGGAGGAACTCTCCCAGGAAGTTGAACAAAATAAGGAAAGAGACAATAATAGAAATAAAGATTCAAACATGTGGGGCACCAGACCAGCATGAGTTCCAGGAAAAACAGATGAAATGCACGAGGGACGTCATCCATGCAGTACACAATACAAGCAAAGCTTCCAGGACTGAAGGATGCTGCTTCGAAATCTAAGGCCCCCTTCCCAGATACCCGGCATGATGAACACACACACACAACCACATGGAATTCCAGATCTAGGGATAATGAGAAGATCCTAAAAGTTTCCAGAGGAGAAAAAAAACACATCTCCTACAAAGATCTGGGAATCCACATGGTATTGAACTCCTCAAACGACACTGGAGACTAGATAAAAATGGAACAATGACCCTGAAATGATGAGAGGACACTATTATTTCCAATCTAGGATTTATACCCAGCTCAACTATCTGTAAGTAATGTGGGTAGAATAAACAGATCACAGACTTGAGGAATGGAGAAATTCACCTCCCACGGCCCCTGCTCAGGAAGTTACTGAAAGATCTTCTGCTAAAATGAGGGAACGAACATGAACCAAGAAAGAGAAAGACATGGGATGTGACATGGGTGGAGGCAAAGGGGTTCTCAGAACGATGGCAGGAGGAAGGCCCGAGAATCCAAGAATGACACGGTGAGGCAGGCATAGAAAGCAGCTAACCCTCACGGTACAGGCGGACAGAAAGCTCCCGGAAATCTGAATCCAAGACAGATTTTTAACGTCTTAATGGGACTTTTCAGAATTTCAAAGATAAATCAGTGACTAAAAATGAAAAAAATATATCTTCCCAGCAGAATTCCTATGGCTCAGACTGTACCAGACGTCCACTGGTTGCCAGCCCAGCATCCATGTCCATCTTCTGGGCATGTCTGTATGGTAGCCAAGGGGTGGACTATATTTGGCATGTGGGTGTTTTTTGTTTATTTCATTTTATTTTTTGGTCTAACCAACATCCATACCCCCATCTCCCCAATGTGTTGGTTTTGCAGTAGCTGAGGGGTGGATCGTTTGAGTATCCGCTCTTTTTGTCTGACATCCACGCCTATCCTACCTGCTATTTTGTCTGCCCAGCTTCCGTTCTCTTATTCTGTGAACAACATCCCAACTTTCCTGGGGAAGCCACCGTCCCCATCCCTTTCCCCTCCACATGGAGAAGGACGCTGACCTCACTCCTCAGCTTGAGGGATGAGAATGTGAGCCAGGCCTGGCTGATCAGACTTACGGTGGCAGCTCAAGGAAAACCAGGCGGCCCAAGGCAGGTCAGTCTAACGCTAGTGTGGTAAAACCCCGGGCGCAGGACATTCTCCAATAATGAGACTTGATAAGAGGGGAAAGCACAGTCCCCGAGGCACTAGCATGAAGCCAGCACAGATGACAGCATTGCTGACGGACACCGAGAGCGCACGTCCAGGAGACACTGTCTGGATGGCACCTGGATCCAACCACACCCCTAAGGACCCTACAGTTCTGTCACGTGAGCCCATAAGTCTCTACATTGAAGCCAGTTAGAGTTCCACGTTGACACGTATGGGGACAGGGCCTGGGGTGAGGGCACGTCTCACCTCGGACCACAGTGCCCGGGTAGAGACAACGGTACTGCTGGCTCCAGTAGGCTGCGATCCTGGTCCCTTGTGGCAGGAAGCGAGTAGAGGCCGGCCTCACGTCGATGATCTGGGACAGCGTGGGATTTAGTGCCAGGCACACAGCTGTGGCCACAGCCCTTGACGCCCCCACCCCCAGCCTCCGGGGGCCCCACCCCCCATCTCACCGCCTCCTGCAGCAACTGCTCCAGACAGTAGATGTGGGGCCGGTTGCCGCGCTCGCCCTCCACCACCACACGGTATCTGCGAGGCCAGGCAAACGTGCTGTGCAGGGCAGAGGCTGGAGACCTCCCCAGAGGGACCCCAGCCCACCACTGCCGGCTTTGCCTCCCAGGCCACTGGGACGCCGCACCAGGACTCGAAGGCTCACTGACTTTGCTATGTGAACATGGCCACACTCTCTCCCCTTCTGGGCTCAGTTTCCTCATCTGTGCAACCAGGGGTTGCTCAGCACACCCGGCCGGTCCAGGCCAGATCCCAGGAGAGGCCAACGTGCTCTCTCTCGGCCCACCCCGGGCAGGGCCTCAGGGTACGTGGGCCTGCCCAGTCGTTCTGAGCCAGCTATAGCAGGGGAAGCCACAGCCTGGGGGGCAGGGGGAAGCACAGAGATGGCTCTGCACAGGCCAGCGCCTGACTCACATGTCTGGCGAGTGCACCGTGTGCACGTGCCCCGCGTACAGCAGCTTGTCGTCCATGGGGATGAGCACCCGCAGGCCGTCCTTCAGCTCATCCTTGTCGATGATGCAGGAGCGAGGGGCTGTCGGAGGGCAGGTGTGAGGCAGGGCCGGGCGGGCGCGGGACCCTGGGTGGTCTGGCAGTACTCAGACGTGTGCACCCCTGTGTCTGCCCTAGCGCGCCCACTCAGTGTGCACAGCCCCTCTGCCCGCCGCCCGTCCATCCCCACCCCAACGGCCAGCACCCTCTGCGCCAGCACACGAAGTTCTGGGGCATTGGCACACCCCATCCACCCCCACCTGGGCCAGCATCCCCCACCGTGACGTCCAGCACCACTACCACAGCCCCAGCCAAGCCTCAGGGATGTTCCACATGCTTTTTCTCTTTCTGGTGGAAACCAGCCCCTACACCAGGACAGGCTGTCGGCACCCACCCGCACCCTGCAGCCCCTCCCTCCCTCGAGCCTGCCCCTTGTTATTCATTTGCTCCTTCTCGACGGGGCCTTCGACCTGGCCCCTCCCCATCCGAACCACTATTAAAAGACCAGGACAGTTTGGACAGCTCACAGGGCAGATGGAATGCCAGGCCCACTACGTGCCCGCTGTGCCCATGCACGGCCTCGTGGCAGAGTCAGCCTCCCATGCCCTGGCGCTGGGCTTGGCTGTGTGACTCACCAGGGCAGAAGGGGCAAAGGTTGATCTGGGCAGCGGCCTTCAGAGGCCCCTGGGTCCCGCCTCCCCTAGAGAGCCTCTGGCAGCATGGCCGGAGACCATGGGCCCAGCACATGGATGGCATGCGGAGAGAGGACGGCGGAACGGGTCAGCCGAGCCCGGCTGGGGTCAGCACAGCCACCCAGCAGCCCTGGGACGTGCAGCACACACGCTGCCGACCACCAGCTGACTGACACACGCCAGGGTCGCACCCCTCCTCTTGCTCTGCCTCCGCATGCGCATCACAGCCGTGGGTCTCAGTGCTTCCTGGACGTGGCCTCCCCGGATGTCCTCCAGGCACCCCAAACTCCAACCAGCAAAGCCCAGCGTGTGACCCCATGACCCTGGTCTCAGGGACAGCTCCTCACCCACCTCCAGTCTTCACCGTTCCCCTCCCCAACCTCCCCACACAGCCCCCCACATCCCACCCACCCACTCTCCTTTCCAATGCTTTTGTCTTCCCCCTGCTGTCCTCACGAAGCCGGGGGTCACCACCAGCTCTTGCCTGGATGGTGACAGCCTCGTAACTTGACTCCCAGCCACCCTTGGGGCCTTCAGTTCACTCTCTATGCAACAGATGGCTCATTTTAAAACCAACTCAACTGCATCACTCCCCCACTTACAACCTCAGAGAGCTTTTTATTTTCCTTAGAATGAACACCCAGCTCCTAACCTAGGCCCACAAGACTCTACCTCTGCCTCCTCCCTGGCCCCAAGGCTGCTCTCTTGCCACCCTCGCCCCAGCTCTTTAAGCCAGAGCCAAACTGGCCTCCTTTCCGCAGACCTCAGGGCCTTTGCACATGCTGTTCCCGGCCTACATCCCTCTGCTAGCTCAGCCCCTCCCTTGTCAGGCTAGGCTTAGAGCTGCCTTCCCCAGGGGCCTCCTGCAGCCCCTCTCCACACACAGCACGGACACTCACCTGGAGTCAGTGGCCGTTCCACAACCCCGCCACGTGGCAGGTGTTCATCCTCAGAGAAGCTGGAGTCCTGGTTGGGCTCAAAGTCCTCCTCAGCCGCCATGCTCTCCATCAACTTGCTCACGGCGCCTCCCTTTCCCCGATTCTGGGGACAGAGCATGGCAGAAAAGTAGATTAGGACGTGGCACAGGGGTCCTGCCTGGCGGGGGACCCTCCCTGGAAACCCAGAGCCACAGTCAGGCCCCGGGGTATCTGCCATGTGCACAGGAGGGGCCCCAGCTGGGTGCACCCCAGAGGCCAGAGAGAGGAAGAAATGGGCCTGGAAACTGGCTGGCCGGGGCCTGCATGTACTCAGTGCAGTACTCAGTACAGAACTTATGTTTGTCACCTCGACAGATGCCTCGATGCCCTCCTTAGAGAAACTGAGGCAGCATCTCCAGCCAGGCACAATAGGCTGGAGGAAAAACAGCTTGTGCAGGGTCTAGCAGGCGTGGGGAACAGGCACGCCCAGGCATGCCCCCACCTGCCAACTGAGCAAAGAAATTCGCCCATGCCCGGGGGGAGCTGGAGCTAAGCTGGGGGCTCCTGTCGCCTGGCCCGACAGGTCTCACGGTCACCTGTCAGGTGTCCTCCACCCCTGCTAAGGTGGGTGCCTCCTGAGAATCGGGGCCAAGTCCCACGTATCTCATTCTCCTCAGGGCATGGGGACTGCAGCCAGGTCACCTCGCCTCCCTGAACCTCGGCTGCAGGGAGGGTAAACAGCGTGGCAGGCAGAGACCTCCCTCCGGCCTCAGGAGCACAGAGAGGGCGTGATGGACTCGGGGTGCGGCATCCCTGCCTGGGCACGAGCCTCACCTCCTTCTTCACCTCTTTCCCTTTGGCCTTGGCCTTGTTCCTCTTGGCAGCGGCCAGGGAGCTGGCATGAGGGGCCCTGGCCTCGGAGGGCAGGGCGGGAGTGCGGGGTGGTGGCAGCGCGGCTCCTGGACTGGCCTCCTTCCCTTTCTTCTTCTAGAGGAGGAAGCAGCAGAGGGAGCCCTCAGGGGGCCAGCAAGGGTCCAGCCTTCCCGGCAGGGGTATGGGGAGGCAGGACCCCCCAGCCAGCCTGCCCTCCACTCGCTCACCCCCCCAAGTTCTGTGTGACCCTCCCCGGAGGAATGGAACAGCCCCTCCTCTCCCTGAAGGTGTTTTTGTTTTGAATCTTAATTACTTTATTACTACTATGTATATCTTGTTGACCCCTCAAAAAAGACAACACTGCAATGCATGTGTGTGCGAGTTCCTCTCCAACCACCCTCCTACCTACCCCACAGAGGCAGAGCAACAGCATGGTGCACCTTCTAGAACTTTCCACAAGCACATACAACCCTGTCAATACAAAGGCTATGCAGACACATGGTACTTTTTTTTAAACATGGGTGGACATTTACCAAAAGTCCTGCTTTGCGACATTTCCCCCCCACATACTGATCTACATAGAGGTAGCTTCGTTTCTGCTTTATAACAGCTGCTCACTGAGCCATGGCGTGGGGGAAACCGCCCCCATGAGGGGCCTGCAGGCCGCCTCCACGTCTTCGTTCTTTCAAGACATGCCACAAAAAAACCAAAACAACAACAACAACAAAAAACAACCTAACCAATTAGTTTGATAGGATATACTCCTGGAAGGGGCATGGGAAGCCATTTGGCTACTGCCTGAGTTGCTACCAGAATGTCCCCTACTGCCCCCTGCCCCAGCAGCGAGGGGAGAGCTCTATCCAGCCCGGCTCAAAGGTCTCCCCGTCACGGAGACGTGTGCCCCTCCCCTTGCTGGTGGGAGGTGGGGGGCGGGAACTGGCCCAAACCTTTTAAAAACAGGCATCGTGGACAGATTCATTTATCAGAGCAAAGAAGCGGAAACAACCTTGGTGTCCAGCAACCTGTCACAGAATCCCTGGGGTGTCGACACACATAGTTACACGCTTTTATCGCCACGGCTAGTGTGGTGTTCTGAACCAGAGCCAATGGCACAGGCAACCGAAAATGATGACACTTTGTGTGAAAGGCAGGGCTCGAAACTACAGCTGGCAGAATCCAGAGGTTATGGGGTTTGGGGCCAGATCACACAACTACCTTTTTTAAAAGGGACATGTCTGACACAAATGACCAAGGCCAGGGGAGGTGGAAAACTAAGAAACAGAAAAAAATAATAATGGGCAAATGTTACGAAGACAACAACGGAAGTCACAACATCTGTATCAAACATGAGATTCAAAGCAAACAGCATTAAAAGGGGCAAAAAAGGACATGTTCTAGAGATAAAAGGGCTACAGTTTAATCCCCATTTTGGGGAAAAATATATATATACACATTGTATTTTCTTGTTTCTGATGCACATTTTAACCCCGTTCACATTCCTGAAATCAGAGGCATCTAAGGGCCGGGGGAACATTAGTGGTTACGTTTCTGTGACCTCTGCCGTCTGTTATTAAATAGCTCATCGTGTGGCGCACATCTTTGCAGCTGGGGATGAGGAAAGGAAATGACAGCCAAAAAAAAGTCTGAGTGGATCTTTCTGTTCTTCCTTTTCTTTATCCTCCAAATTACTGTTAGAATCAGATAAAACCAGTAACTATTTCTTTCCTTTTGAACAGAAAACCCATTTCTGGGAGGCCCCCTGTTCCTACTTCTACTTTTTTTTTTTTTTTTTTTTAATAAGAAAATAACTTCCATGGCCGGGCGCGCTGGCTCACGCCTGTAATCCTAGAACTTTGGGAGGCTGAGGTGGGAGGATCGCTTGAGGTCAGGAGTTCGAGACCAGCCTGAGCAAGAGTGGGACCCCATCTCTGCCAAAAATAGAAAACATTAGCCAGGCATGGTGGCGCATGCCTATAGTCCCAGCTACTCAGGAGGCTGAGGCAGGAGGATCTCTTGAGCCCAGGAGTTTGAGGTTGTTGTGAGCTAGGCTGACGCCACGGCACTCTAGCCCAGGCAACAGAGTGAGACTCTGTCTCGAAAAAAAAAAAAAAGAAAGAAAAGAACTTCCAAATGGGACAGAAGCTCTGTACACAAGACAGAGGCGTTCACTGCTTTGGTAATTATGATGGCAAAATACCATCATCACCCAAACCACCAAGCTAGCAGGGTCAGTGGCAGAAGATGGTACCAACCACAGGATGTGGGATGTCATTCAGCCACGTACAAATATTGATAAAAAATAAAAAGTAAGATAAAAGCTCATCACATGTGGACATGCGCATGATAAAATACAGACTGCACAAAGTCTAAAAAAAAGGATACAGTAGCCCCCTCCTTATCCGAGGTTTCACTTTCTGTGGTTTCAGTTACCCACAGTCAATCTCGGTCTGAAAATATTAAATGGAAAATTCCAGAAATAAACAATTCATAAGTTTTAAATTGCACGCCGTTCTGAGTAGCGTGATGAAATCCTGCGCTGGCCCTCTCAGGACGTGACTCACGCCTTTGTCCAGCGCATCCACTACCCGCCTGTTAGTCACTCGGTGGCTGTCTTGGTTATCAGATTGACTGTCACGGTATCGCGGTGCTTGTGTTCAAGCAACCCTTATTTTACCCAATAATGGCCTCAAAGCACAAGAGCGGTGATGCTGGCGACTTGGCTACACCAGTGAGAAGCCGTAAAGTGCTTCCTTTAAGTGAAAAGGTGAAAGTTCTTGACTTAATATGGAAATAAAAAAAATTGTATGCTGAGGTTGCTAACGTCTAAGAATCTTCTATGTGTGAATTTGTGAAGAAGTAAAAAGAAATTTGTGCTAGTTTTGCTGTCACACCTCAAACCGCAAAAGATACAGCCACAGTGCGTAACATGTGCTTATAGCATAGGGTTTGGTATTCTCTGTGGTTTCAGGCATCCACTGGGGGTCTTCGACCACATCCACCCCCATAGCAGATAAGGGGTGGCTACTATTACAAAAGTACAATCTCAAACAAACAGTAACAGTGGTTGTTCTTGGGGAGACGGGCTGTAGGGTGATTTCCTTGGCTGTCTAATTCTCCCTTTGTTGACAATCTGTTCTGTTTCAGTCTCTTGCAACAACATCAAAAGGCCGCATGCGGAGAGCCTCTGGTCCTCTCCCCTAATGGCCAAGTGTCCAGCTATTCGGATACCAGGAAGTGGGCACGCAGGGTCTCCAACAGAAGGCGCTAGCTTGGGAGCTGGGTGCACTGGCGCACGCACACCTGTAGTCCCAGCTACTAGGGAGACTGAGGCAAGAGGATCACTTGAGCCCAGGAGTTTGAGACCAGCCTAAACAACATAGCGAGACCCCCATCTGTAAAAAACGATTAAAACAAAACAAAACAAAGGCACCACCTTGGGAAAGGCCCAAAGAGGCAGTGCGGCTCAATGGTTAAGGCCCCCGGTGGTCTTAACTGGCGCTAGACCCCCAGGGTTCAAAGCCCAGCTCAGGGGATCATTAGCTACTGTGACCTTGGGCTGGTACTTGTCCTCTCGTGGGCCACCTATAATGTGCAGTTAATGAGAGGAACTTACTTCATATGGTCCTGTGAGTACATGGTAAAGCAGTTAGAACATGTCTGGGCCTACTATGGGTCACCAGGGAGGAGGAGGAGGATGATGATGATGATGATGATGATGATGATGATGATGATGATGATTTATTCTGGCACCTGCTCCACAAGGCCCTGAAAAGCCTGAGGTGGCTTCGGCCTTGGAAAAGGTGAGCACAGTGCCAGGTTCCTGTGGACGACGCACACGCAGTCCCTCCCTCACTACCACCCGTCATTGGGAAATCGATGCGAGTCTCACCCGTTTGTGATTTTTCTCTAGAATGTCACTGTTACTTGAGGGTTCGTCCTGTACCAGGGACATGGGGTGGAGAGACCTGAGTCAGACACTGTAGAAAACTGGCTAAGTCTGAACACAACCGCTTATAGGGGTTAGGGGGACAACTGGCCGTGAGCTTCCCAGCGGCCAGTGCCAAAGGGTAACAGGCCTCATATCACGAGTTCTTGAAAGGCAAGTTTTGTCAAGCTGGGGTGTCTACTGAGAGATTTCGGGGACTATGTGAATAGGGGTGGGGGAAAAATCCCACCTCTATTTTCACATTTTAACCTCTATAGAAATGAGGTTTTCCTTCAGGTGAGAGTGGAGGCCACAAACCACAACAGAACCAGCAGTGCCGGAGACTCTGCCACCAACAGAAACCACAGAGAGTGTCACAGCACCTGACAGTTACTGCAGAGACCTCAGAGCATCCTTTGTGCTCATTGCTGGGAAAGCAGGGTGCTGCTAGACCCGCTGGGGGACAGCCTCACTAACCGAGTGTGTCCCCAGAGGAGCACCTGAACGCTACGCCATACCACAAAAGGGCTTCTCGACAATGTGAGAGCCGCGCTTCAATATCACCGTTTTCCTTTGGGGCCCCGGGTGTTTCACTCCCACCTTACAGAGTCACTCTGAGACAGAGGTGGGAGGTTAAGGGCCTCTGTCAGGTAGGGCTGGGGGCTCCCGGTGGGTCTCCAGGCGAGCAAGTGGCCGAGTCGAGGCTGCGAGGGGTGTACGCCCGACCTCCCCGCGCCCCCAGCCCTCGGGGGGAGGGGGACCCTACCTTCCTGGGGTCCTTCCTGTCCCTGGCGCGGCCGGTGTCCTTGCGTGGGCTCAGCGGGCCGCCCTTGGCGCGGGTCCGGGGCGCGGGCGCGGGCGCGGCGCGGGCGGGTGTAGGCGCGGCGGCCGAGGCGTCGTGCAGGAAGATGCGCTCACTGCGACGCCGCGTCCACAGGTCGTCGTCGCTGGCCTCAGGCCCCGCCTCGAAACCTGGCTCCTTGCCGCCCCGCAGCTTCCGGGCCTTGCGCCCCTTCTCCGCCGCCAGCTTGGCCTTGTCGGGGCTGGCGGGGCCCCGAGCGGCGGGCGCGGGTGCGGGCGCGGGCGGCCCCGGCTCCCCCAGCGCTTTCTTGGGCCGCAGCAGCCCCGCCGGCGACCGCTTGCGCACCTTGACCTCGCTCTCCGAGTCCGTGTACTCGAACTCCGTGCCTAGACGGAGGGAGGAGGAGGGGCTCGTGGAGGGCTCTCCAGGGCCTCCTGGCACCCGCCCCCCAGTACCCCCGACCCCCAGCCGCCACAGACCCGTCGCTCCTCCGCAGGGCAAGGAAACTGAGGCCAGAGAAGGAGAAGGACTCACTGCCCCCCCCCCTCCGTCGCCCCTCCTCGGCTGCCCCGAGTCCTCAGCCAAGGCCACCGTCCAGGAAGGTGAAGACCAGGGGCGCAGGAGCGTGTGTTCCCGTGTGACCGTGGAAACCTGCGGCCAGGGCAGGGGAGCGGCGGGCCCCACGCCCGCAGGGCTGCAGCGGTGGTGTGGGAAAGCCCCGCAGGAAATCCCCTACCCGGCCTCTCTGCCCCCCTTCCTGCAGCCAGGCATCCACCCGACCCCCTCCCCTGTGTAGACTGCGGGGCGCACCAGAGCCCCCAGCCCTGCTCTCTCCCCAGGCCCACGCCCTGCTTCCCTCTACGCTGGGTCACAGGCCCAAGCTCAAGTTCCCCCACCTTCCTAACCTCCAGGCTTTCTCTTCTGCTGTCTCCTCTGCCCAGAGCCCAGCACGCCACCCCGCCCCACCGCCACCTCTACTTGGAAAAGTGCTGACCCACTTGCCCTGGGGGCAGTCCTCTCTGCCACACCTCTGCCATCACAGGCAATGTCACACTCTGCCCTTTCCCTCAGAGTCCAGGTCTCAGCCTGCCAGGCCCCAAGAAGTGAATGAATCCCTGAGTTCTTCTGGAGCCTTCAACATCCTGCAGCTCAAGCCCTGGCTCACGGCAGGTGCCCGGGAAAAGCATGTAGGTGAGCGGTTAACAGCACTTCTCCCTGGGACAGGGTTTGGAGGTGTATTCATCCCACTGGCTGTGAGGAGGACCTGCATCCTCCAGCCAGACCCGGGGAGGCGATGTCTGCAATAGCCCCTTGGGTCGACAACCTCAGAGAGGGCCAGTGGCCTGCCCTGGATCCCCCAATACAGAAGTCGACAAGCCAGGGCCCCACCCCAAGCCTACTGACCCCCGGCAGCCGTGGGAGGCCAGGCACCATTGTCCCAGCAAATGCAGCCACAGCAACAGGGACAGGCAGGGACCACCCGGTGGGAAGGAGTCCTTGGCAAAGCTTAGTGATCCCATTAATTAATCTGTTAACAGAAGTTGCTTCCCACTGCGCGGGGAAGCAACAAGGGGCTTTCATGGCTGACCAGGGGCAGACCCGAAAGCACAGGCCTGAGAGCACTGCTTCTCCGTGTGAGGGAATGAGACACCCCTCGCAGACCACTAGAACACTGGACATATGTAAACCACTGCAGACACACAGCATGTGGGGCAGGGATGGAGAGTGGATAGAACAGTGGACAGAGAAAAGGCGCACTTGGAAGGTGGGAGTGGAGTCGCAGGGTCAGATCTCGTCCCTGCACCCTCTGCCCTGGCGCTAGACAGTGTTCTTGGCACACACAGTAGGAGGGGGGGCCTGCATGGAAAAGAAGTAGAGTCCTCCTAACCTCAGAACCAGGAAAGACACAGCTAGAAAATGACAACACAGAAGAGGGGAGAAAGGGAGCCAAAGAGGGACCCCAAACTCCGTCTACCCCCATCTCTGGAGGACCCACACACCACCCACACAGGACTCACAGCCCCCCAGGTGACAGCAAGACAGGATTTAAACAGACACCAGAGCTGCCACGCAAGAAACAGAAATTGGAATTCAAGGCCTGCCAAAGAAATACTTGCATAAAGGAAGGAAATAATATTCACTGGAGAAAAATAAGAGCATCCTCACTTTGCACAATCTCACCCCCACAATGTCCAGCACGCAATGCAAAATTACTCAACAAATGAAGAACCAAGAAAATGCATGACATTCTGGAGAGAAAAGAAAGCCAATTGAACATGACCCTGAGATGAAGCAGATGTTGCGTCTACACAAACAGCCCAGGATTCTGAAGGGGATGCGAGAACTACCCTCAAAGAGGTAAAACAAAACTTGTTTTCAGTGAAGGCTCTGGAAATTTCCCCAGAGAAATGGGAAGGTCTGGCAAAGAAACAGACACAATTGAAAAAGAACCAAATAGAAATTCTAGAACTGAGAAGTACAATTTCAGAAATAAAAAAAAAAAAATCAATGAAAAGACTTAT